ATATATATATATATATATATATATATATATATATATATATGTATGTATGTATGTATGTATGTGTAAAAAAGATCAGCATGTCCAGCTAATCGAAAAGCGTCCGAATGAAGCATTGATTTTGTGCACGAAATAACCCGCTGATAGTAAATCCCATCATCGGCTTTATTTCGACGAGTCAAAATGTTCTGACCGTCGTGCATCGACGAATGGTTGATACAACTCGATGTATAGCCGTGGCATTAAACTAAATAAACACACTAATTTTGGAGGAGATCACGAGAGGAGATCCGCACAGCGTGGCGCTTGCATTACGATTTATTAATAGATGTGTTTGTAACGGTAGGATAATTACCGAAGCATAATAACGACCGTTCAAACTGTTGTTCCATTGATACTCGTCAAAAATCCGTTCTCGATTATCGGTTAATTGCAACCTCGAATTGGAAATTCCAATTTAGGTCGAGTAAAATTTGCGAAATTGGAGGATCGTCGAGGATTGATTTTGAAAGGCTGAAAGACTACGAGGCGAAATTTGGAATGTAAGTCTCGCAAGTGCCCGAATTTGTGCTTCTAATAATGCTCCTTGGACCGCAAGGCGCATCTTGAATCTGCCAACGCCCTCTTTTCACTTCTGTTTAGCCTTGTTATTGTGGCGAATTCAAATTTAAATCTCTATTGGCGTTTCTGGGCACACACACAACTGTTATTTGCTTTTACAATTCTTTCCTCCCGAATATTCAAGTTCACTCGAAAATTCCAACGTCAAAAAGTAATAATAAAGAAAGATCACGAGAAAGAAAGTTTGTTACTTTATTTGTCCATTAATTCTATATTTACTTATTAATCTTTTTTCCAGATTATTTAATATCTGCTTATATCAGACAAATTCATCTGTAGTTAAGTAAAATATATAATTAAAAAAATCGTTTATTAAAATGTTTTAATTGTTTAAAAATGTTTTTGTTTTTATAAAGGCTAAATGCAGGTAGAATATTGCAATAACCAATATTGTAATAACCAAGTATCAAATCGTTCCAAATATTTGATTTTTGAAAATGCTTAGAGAGAGAGAGAAAGCATAATACCTGACCAATACAGAGCTCTTAGCAGTTCTTACTTTAAACCTCAACACAAAGAAAATAGTACTTAACTACCCGCGCAGTAAATAACCATTTGTAGCATCAAAGGAGAATAATAACCTAAATAATGTTATATCTAAAGATTTCTCGGTGATCCTTCAACGGAATTTCAAATGATTAAACAAAATTTTGATTGGGTAAGAGACGCGATTTCCACAAATCCCTACATTCCTCTTCTTAAATTACAACCACCTGTGATATCAGTCATTAATTCACGTACACTTACAAGAGCGAATCGATATACGTCGCGAAATTTGCTCCGTACTCTCCGAAATCCCTTACGATCTCTTTTTTATTCTCTCTCTCTCTCTCTCTCTCTCTCTCTCTCTCTCTCTCTCTCTCTCGCTCACTCACTCTCTCGATTTGGGACTTTCAATCGAACGTCCAACGCTGTGTCATAGAGTTATTCTATTTTAATGGTGTCGCGAGATAAAACACGCCGACAAGCGTTTATCCCGCACGGTTCGCCGGGCTTGCAAATTTTCGGCTGACCGACTCGCAAAAAGAACAGGCATTTCCCCGGCGCTCTCGCCGTAAGAAGCGAAAATGCACTTCTGCATCGTGCCGCTGCTGGCACGGAAATCACCGGCGGTTCGATCGCTTTTTATCCAACTTATCCACGTTACACTGCGGAAGCGAACTCTGCACCTCTGTCGACCTCGTCTATTGCACCTACCCCTTATCTGTTCCGGCGAGCGACCTGACAGTATAGTCCGAATATAACGTGCCTCGTGGTGCATAAGGGAAGTGCACTCACTGTGTGCGCAGCGCGCAAACAGCTTGTCATCGAAGGCAAACGCGACTGATGCTTCCACGGAGACGCATAATTGTGTCTGCCAATCCGCACGGGGTCGTTAAACGAGGATTTTGAGATCAGTCGTTTCCTAGATAGATAGACTTTTATGATTGTCACGACGTGAGGCAATCGATGATGGAAATTTTACAATTATTTCAGTTACATTCAGGAGGCACAGATATATTCATTGCATTAATTATTCAATTCACATCATAGAACGATGAGTGAGTTCTGTGTTATATTCGATGTGCGTCCAAGAAATTTACTTAAAATTACTCTCAGATATGCATATTAAATTTTATATGATATAATATTTCGAGCAAATTTTCATCACTTATTTCATATGTTTTTTCGTGTTTCATATTTTTTTTTTTTGTCATTCTATATAATAGATAGAAGTGTCATATGAACCATTCATAGGGGATGCATATTAAATTTTATATGATATAATATTTCGAGCAAATTTTTATTATTTATTTCATATTTTTTTCGTGTTTTTGTTTTTTCATTCTATATAATAGATAGAAGTGCCATATGAATAACTCATAGGGGATGCAACCTTTACGAATCGACTGGTAAAGTTACTGTCAAATTTACACACGTCTGTCTATCTGGGCTCGAACGTGACGTGTATGGCGGAGGATAGTCGGCCGAAATAGAGCACGTCTGGGGATGTGTATTATAGAGAAGATGGCAGGAAACACGTAAGAGAGAAAGGGGGAGATAATTATGTGTTTCGTAAAAATATTGGATATTTTGTTCGCATAGCTCGCGTACAAAGCTCGCGCTTTGAGTTTTGTAAACGTTTTAGTGACATAAGTACAAACCGCGCAAAGCATCGTGGCGCGGAATTATGAAATTTAAAAAGAGAAAAATAATACCAACGTCCTGGACAAATGTTCTCCACATTTTCATCCCATCTTGCGCCTCTAAGCTCTCAGTTGTGTATAAAGAATATCTTGCATTAAATATTAATTAATTTTTTCACGCGTGTTCTCTCTTTGTCGTGTTGTCAGCTTCTCATATCTGTGTTAATAATTAAATTAATCACGTTACCGGCTCGTGCGTTTTCAGGTGCTCGAAGAAGTTCCGAGACTTTTCAGTTGAAATTATTAATGCACGATGATGGTAATAATAGTGCGCTAACGTTCGAAAGATACAACGAGCCATATCGTTACACAGAACAAACTGAATTAACTGAACTTTGAGCGCAAAGCAACGATATTACTTTATCCGGAATTGTCCTTTGCATTCTCAGCATTCTCATGAGATTCAGTTCAAAGTAAAAGCGCAGGAAAGCGCAATAATCTCGAAATTAATGCCGCAGTCGCGCGTGGCATTTTGTTCAGGCATCGATTTTGCGTCTCGTTTCCCCAACCCCAAGCCCAATAAAATTTCGCCCGCGCAAAGCACCAGAAAAAGGACTGGAGGCCAAAGGCGATAGAGCTTGCTTTGTTCCCGCGTCAAACTATGCGCGGCCGCCCGGTGCTTCGACAGAGAGGCAAGCCCGCGAAAAGCTAATGTGTGGCGTCCGATTGCACAAAAAATAGCAATTGGTACTGCACGTGGGACTGCGCGAAATTCGTGCGGGCCGAGATCTGTCCATATGAAATGAAGTACTCACCGCGACGTTGCTCGCGCGATTCAACGCGCGACGCTTCTTTTGATCTCGCCGAGAGTCACGTGCGTTCGCCGACCAAGCTCGACCGGAGAAGCACACCCAAAACACCATCCAACACCGCCGCGGATCTGCGGCTAACTGACAACCATCCTGACTCTCTCGGCTTGAGCTAATAACGGCGGCGGCAACCACTCCGGGCGGGAGGAGGTCGTGCGTGCGCATCGCGCGCGCTCTCCCGAAGTTTTTCCCGCGACCTGATCGCGAAAGAGTCTGCTTGGCGTGGCACGTGAGAGAGACCATTCGCCCTAAAATTGCCGATATCCCTTTCACCTACACGCACACGCACGCGCGTATACACACACACACACATATACACACGCTCCTCGGCCGTTTGGTACAACGTCGAAACGAAGATGCCGAGGCACGAGCGCTTTCCCGAGTAATTAGTAGTTCGAAGAGAAGGCTCCGCTCCGCCAATCAAAGTTTGCACAAGCGAACCAGTGATAAAATATGTGTCGGTTAATTACAACGTTCTATTCGCGTTCCATTCGCGAAAGACTTTGTCACGAAGACATACGTCAGTGGTAATCGCGACTACACCATACGAGGCAACACCGAATTTGGCAATAAAACTGCAATAAACGTACGATTTTCAGACTATCGTCTATATCAAACTATAAGAAATAAATAATTAAAGATTGATTATTAAAATAGCATACAAGAGAGAGAGAGAGAGAGAGAGAGAGAGAGACATGTCATCATTTAGTTGTTGTCGGACTATTAATACATTGTGTGAATGGAGTCTATAAATGAAATATAAAGAATTTTCGCATAATCACATCGCGACGTAACTTTACTTATTGTCGAGATTTTAATAACGAAAATCTATAAAAAACCGGCTAAAAAATGCAGGGTTTCCAAGTAAACGCAATCGGATATATCTCCAAACAACACGGATCTCCACTGGCCATTCTCTCTCTCTCTAAAGACATCCTGAGAACGTTCCTACGTCTTTAGAACGCCCCCAAGACATACCTTGGAGATCTTGTGTTGTCTGAGCAGTAATAAGAATCGAATTTAGAATCAAAGCAACTTATTGCCGATAGTGTAATCCACTTATTAATGTCGCTACATCCATTACCGAGTTATTAATTATGAAAATTGTAGGAGCAATTAAAAATTGACGCAAATATACGTAATTTAATTTGGCACTATTGTCCTACCTTGTTCTGCGTCCTTTGTTCTGGTTTTCCAATTGGACATGCCAGCTTCTAATTGCTCTGTCGTGGTACTTCGAATATTCACTCGGAGCTTTACGTCTGATATTGGCCCTTACTCTGACATTGACACAGTCACTGATATCGGCATTGTCATTCTAGCACCGACACTGATATTGCTATCCCGACACCGATACTAAGCACTGTGGTTCCCAGTTTCTCCGTTATGGCACTTCAAATATTCGCTTGAGGTAATAACACAGATACGAGCACTCGATACTTTTCTCGGAACTTCCGACTGTCCGTTTCGTGACATACCCATTTCGTGCGCTTATTCAACAATTCTCGTCACGATGAACGCGCGATCGTCTACGATACGATCACAGTTACGTTTTAAAGTCGTAGTACTAGTCTGTGAATCGATCTATTTCCTTCGCGTAAACTCGTGAAGAATGAAAAGTTTCATTGACGAATTCAAGAAAACTTTTCATTTTTCACGAGTTTACGCGAAAGAAATAGATACGTGATCGCGCGATACATGGACTCACGCTACGACTTTAAAACGATACTGCGACCGCATTGTAGATGATTCTTTACTTTCGGCACTCCCGGCGATGAAACGGACCCGAGACTCGCACTCGGCGAGCCGAAATCGCGAAAACAGAACGATACGTGGAATATGTTATTCTTGTCGCGCCACGAACCGTAGCCCTAGTCTTATAAACTCATGCTAAATTCTGATTTCCAAGACAGATTCTGCCAACCTAACGCCAGATGAACAAATAAGAGATCAAAAAGATTAGTAGACTTAGTATACAATAAGTGTCGTAAATCATAAGAATTGGCCAATCATAGCCAATTATTTTTGTAATATCAATTATTTTTTAAAATAATCGACTGTAATTGGTCAATTTGCTTGCAGCTTATAACTTATTGTAGAAGGCCCATAAGAATTAGCTAATCATAGCTGATTATTTTTGTAATAATCGACTGTGATTGGTCAATTCTTACGACACCTATTGTAGACCGGGCCTTATACCCGTTATCTGTGCGCGCGACGTTTCAAATTAATTCTAAAATCCCCGCTATGAATCGCTACATTCTTGAATGAGTTGAGGTCGTGATACAACTAAACATTAGATCGGACGTACCTTCGCTTTATCGAATAATACACAATGGCGAGTCAGACGTCCTTTAGTCTATGATCATAACAAGTAAACATAATGTTCTTGAAAATAAATACTAAAAACGTACTTTACTGTTCGTTCAAGAACGTGAATACCAAATTCAGAGAAAATTGTTAATTTGTACAACCTGGATTTTACCTGTTTATGTGTCAGATATTTCCTAACAAATGTTTTACATTTCTCTAATACTGGGATACATTATTTTATAAAACAAAAGAGCTTTTGAATGATATAAAAGTTGTTCTGGTATTGTTGACAATTTGGAGGCAACTTTTAATGTTGTTTCATATATTGTTAATTATTTCTTCTTGAATTACAATCAAGATTATAAAAGTTAATCAATGTTTTATATAGTATTTATTTTAACAACTGGTAAAATCTGCCTTAAATCATACAAATATTATGCAATTATGGCAAGTATATCTGCAAATCTTTGTTGCATAGGAACAAATTTTTTTAGATGTTTTTGTCTTACTTCCCTACTTCAGGAAAGTTTTATGTTTCGTTTATTACGAGGCAGAATCGAAGACGCAAATAAATAAAGGCAGCTTGGTTTCGATTCATAGTTATCGCTACATTCATCGAATTACCACAGACCATATATATGTTCTTTAGAGGAAACTCTTAGAATCCTCACTTCGCTTACCTAATTGACCAGGTAAATAAGTCCATCTATTTAATTTTTATAGGTTATAATTATCTATTTAATTTTAGGTTATAATCTTTTTTGTGATATTTCTTTTTAAAAAATCAATAAAATTCCCTCTCTATTAACATCAATATAGAGAAAAGTAAATAAACGTTTATACAATATATCAAAAGGCAAGATAATAACTTATATAATATTAAATCTCGAGATTCTCTATTGTGCTCCGCGTTTGCATTTGTAAGGAAAATGTAGGACGGAAAATGTAGGACGGCTCAGAAAGCTATATCACTTTTTCATCGCGCTACTGAAAGGAAATGTAATTTCAACCGCACTTGAAAAGTACTGTAAGCAAACTGTGTTTCTGTCAGATCAAGAGTTAGCCAGCAATGGTATGGATCAGAGCCTCAGGTGCTGAAGAACGAGGACGCTAATCACAGAATTCGTGAACACATTATTCGCTAAATTAAATGTTCGTCGTATAATCTAACGTCAACCCGATGAAGACTGGTGGCGTTTGATTTCGCTGCTAATTACCGCGTATAGATCGCGAGCGCAATTAAACGTCGCACATCTATCATTAATCTCTTGTTTTCTCTTTTCATCTACCGGAGATAGATCGCATTTCTACTTGATAATTTTCCCGACGTATTTGGCGACACAATTTGGTCACTGTTTCCCTTTGAAGCGTATAAACCTGCTAATTGCATCCTATTACGAAGCGAACTCATAAGCTCGTCATGTTCCTAGAAAGTGCATCAACCAATTGGTCCACGTCGCTGCGTTTACGTGAAAAAAAAAGATAAGCAGCCGAAATTAAGCGGGCTAATTGACCTGACCTTGTCCGTTGTTGAATAGTTTTATTTGTTCGTATGCGACGAAACTCTTCGCGCGGTTTTTGGTAATTAGAGCGGCGCTTCTTGTCCATCATAATCCAGCCAGTTCTATGGGCATGCATTTCTCATGAAATGAGAACCGACTAAAGCTTGATCTACAATGTACTTTTTGCTTTCTGTTTCTATTTCTTTCTAGTTTAAACCTAAAGTCTTTAAGTAGAAAAAAATAGAGAACAAGAAACAGAAAGCAAATAACGCACAATAGATCAAGCTTAATGCTCAATGTGAACACGCAGTATGGAAAAATTGTGATTCTTTCGTTGCGAGTGTCGTTTTCACGATTATATCCGATGTCATTTTCGAATGTCGATTCGTTCTCCGAGAAGAGATTGCACAATTTTTACTTCTCTAACCAATCAACTTGGGAAAAATTGATGGTTTCTTAATTGTGGAAATTCGTTTAATACTAATTTACGTTTGTATAGCTTGCGATGTCGCACGAACCTAATCTAACCAGACTAATCACGTGGTCAATCATGAATCTTTTCCCCTAACATAAACTCGTAAAAAGTGAACATTTCTATATGCTTTTACATTAGAAAATTTTCATTTTTCACGAGTTCACGCTAAAAGAAAAGATTCATGATTGACCAGCAAAGCCGAACTATGAATTACTAGTGAGTAATTTTGTTTGATTAAATTTCTTTCAGGAAAATAAAAACAAATGCTAATAGACAACCATTGTGCTTTCGCGTTTTGTATTAGAATATTCCTCAAATAATTCTCTTCTCGAATGTAATACGATATCCACGCGAATCCTTCGATTTCAGTCGAGTCGAGCGTTATCTGTCACATTTCGTATCCCGAGGATAAGCGTGAAGTGCATTCTGTCTGCCTTCGGAAGTGTCATTGCGCGAGGTATCCGGCGTAAAATTGATCGCGCTTTCGTGACAGCTCGAAGTCGTCGACTGTCTCGCGCGAGCCAATGCTCGCTCGGTCCCTCGTCTCGCTGTCCGACCGCAATAAGACTACGAAATTGAAACCCTTCTCGTCGCCCAGCCGAAAATCTCGCGGAGATCCCTTCGGAAAAATCCAGCCGTCACCGATCGTGAAAAAGTGCCGGAACGAAGATGCTGAACGAAGCGACAAACGCCTCAGGTTGCGCCGCACCGATATCCGTCTGTAACGCGGACGTTCGGGAATCACGCGTGAAATTTTTCATTTACAGTCGCGCGAAATGTCATGTTATACGATTTAATTCTGAATCGCGTCGCCGGGAAAGCCGAGAGTCTAAAGACCATCATTCTGGCACGGTCTCCTCGTGACTATTGCGAGGAAAATTCGCGTCGCTTTATTTTATCACACATATATGTGATCTCTCAGCTACAATTTTTATTTATTATTAGCTACAATTTACTTAATCGGAGATTATATGCTCTCGTGAATTTGCGCTTTCATTAGTTCTGCTCTGATTTTCGCGTTTATCCTGAAAAATATGCCGATGTAATTGCGCAAAACAGTAAAATCAATATCTGTGTAGCAGACAATAACACAATTGGCAGTTTATTTTACTTTCGGCAGTTAAATAAATTATTCATCGAACCGACAGTTCCATTTCGCGCTGTGTTAACGCTAAATATTATATGTAGGTTATAAGATCAATCAAGTTATAATTTTGCTGATCGTCACGACTGTATAATCCGGATGCTCTTCGCATTGCACTTCTTTTTTATGTACTTAGTATTTTCTCTTATGTGTTTTTTTGGGCATTTTCTATGTTAACGGTTGAGAAAACGAGCTCTTCGTGTTTTCGTGAGCTGAAGAAAAAGAAGTAACACGAATAAAAAAAGAAATAAATAAAAAATGTGCTTAAGAGAAGCAAATATTTAATTGCTCAATTGCGCACGACTGCGAGTAAATTTATACTTCCGCTAGAGAAAATTTCTTCGATCATAAACCACGTTTCAAACTCTCCTTCGCTCATCTTCGTCATCCGATCGTGCATCTAAGAGCTTTGAATATTTTTTTTCGATCGGTTTAATCATATCTTCCTTCTCATGTCTCTGTGTTTACAGAAAAAACGGAGGAACGTCCGTCGTCTAACTGTTCGAGAAAGTCCGCAACGTTGAGCACCGGAAATAAAAATCACAAAAGTAGAATTCCGACTACGCAGCTTGGCAGAGGTACCATGCAAGTATGTTAATACGCAAATATGTTAATGCCGCACGATTGCCAAATAGTTTTGGGTATAACGCGATGTTTGGTGTGACGTTGGTGGTTCTTTTCTTTTTCTTGCCACGGTGTGACCAGTTCTCGTTGACGGCACGGAAGTGACTTCCTCTGTAACGTTCTAGAATTAAATTTACCGGTTGGCGAGAAGACTAACGGTGTGTTTAACGCAGACATGCATTTCTCTTCGCCATGATAAGCACGTAATTCGTTGGAAAAAATAGCGAGTGTACGACGTTAGTAAATCATCGTACGCTACGCGAGCGTGCACGTATTACACACGATTTACATCGCGCGAACGTCAGCTCGAGTCGAAAATTGCGGCCAGCGACTTTTCCTTCTGCGACATTAACCTCAAGACTCCGTTTTCCCAACAGGGCGATTCGTCAGGTCATCATTCACCGTACGAGGATTGTTCCAACGGAATTAGCTCCAACAATAATTCCGCTCGCCGGCCAACTGTTAAGACTTCGGCTGCAGCGACGTCTAATAAAAAACCATCAGTCGCTGCTGATAAACGTCAATTGGAGATCCAGTTTAGCACCAAAAAAGCACGGTACGCGGTGCTGAAGAAGACACTGGCCGATAAGGAAGTAACTGTCGAGCAATTTCTACATCTGACTTTTGACTTATTAAGGCTCCTGGGTACTCGCTGCGGCCATACAGGATTACGACGTCAGAAGCGAGAAGTGACATGCTGAAAATTCTTATGTGCTATATCGAAATAAAAAGATATTTGTACAAAAAAACACCCCACAGGTCGCTGAAGCGTATCTGTAAAATGTCTCGGAAACTGTTCCCTCTTTCCTTGATAGTTGATAAACAGCCGTAAAATAAACGTAGCAAAATCTTGAGAGAAGATAAGTTAAAAAGGAAAGTTTCACGTCACGACTGTGAGGAAAAGATAGAACATTTTACAAGTATGTTTAAATGATCCGTGCTTTCATACAAATATATTTTTATTTGGAAATGGTACACACAAGAATTTTGGACATGCGTTTTCTCACTCGACGTTATCAATCCAGAGTCTCGCAGTGAGTACCCAGGAGTTTTAAGACTGAGAAAAGAAGATATCTGAATTTGTTCTCTCGAGTTGAAAAGGCAGAAATCGAACTCATCTTTGTTATGCGTCTCCAGAAATTGGCGCAGGATCTGTTAGAGGAGATGTCGAGTCTGCGGGAGAAGATAATCGCGGCCGGCGGCAAGGACCCCGGCAAGATCGAGGACCCGAGATCATTTCTAGTGAACGGTCTCAAGCAAAGGTCGCCGACGCCGCCGATTGAGATGGGCTCGTCGCAAGATTTGACTGAGAAGCGATTACTAACGATCAGCGTGAACGAGTCGGCAGTAATCGGCGTGTCACTGCTGCAGAATCAACTGCAGGACCTGTGCGATCACTCTCGGGAGCTGTGTCAGCGCGCGCTAGACAGGAGCTCATCGTTCGCGTCCCTCGTCAAGTCCTGGCTGACAGAATCGAGCCGGCACGAGGCGGGCAACGCGTTGGCGCCGCTCGATTCGGAGATAGAGGCGCAACTGGCGATCTTCGGACAGGACAACGAGGACATGAGGACGCGATTGAACGAGTTGGCGGCGATCCAGAAGGACCTCGTCGCTGAACTCGCGAAGAGATCCTCGAGCTTAAGCAGCGAATACAATTATCACGGACGCGCGGAAGAGCCGCCGAGCGCCGATCGTAAGAACCTGCTGCAGCAACTGAACACCGCTCTGGAAGAGCTCAAGGCGGAGCGTGACAAGGCGAATCACGGGAAGAACAAGACGAAGATGATGGAGCTGCAAATGCAGAAGGCGCGTGCGAAGATTCGCGAACTGGAGGGCCACGTGGTGAACGAGGAGGAGAAGCTGCAGCAGTTGCAGAGCAGCGTCAAGTCGCTGGAGACACAACTGAAGCAGAAGGATGTGGTGATGGAGGAGAGGATGAAGGACATGCACAAGGCGTTGAAGAGCAGCGAGAACTTGGTGTCGAAGATAGAGAAGCAGCGGGACACCCTCGAAACACGGTTGCCTTTACCGACGTTCCGTTCAGTTCTCGTTTTTTTCAGACATGTCGAGATATTTTCATTAATAAATAAATAATGAACTTAAAATTCGCAATAAAACTTAAATAAATGAATCAACAAAATCGCTTAAATATGTGAATAGCTCAAATATATGATTAATCTGTTGTCATTCCGCTATTTTCTCAACATGACTTCTTTTTAGAATATTGGAGCTCAAAGAACAGATGGCCTGTAAGGAAGCCGAGGCAAGTGCTACCATTAAGGAATTGTCGGAAAGATTTGAGACGATCGACGTGGAAATCAACGAAGAGAGAAACAAGAGGCGAGTTCTTCCTCTGTAACTCAGTTTTTCATTTTTTTCCCACGAGCTTAACTGATGTGATTTCGTTAGTTGCGACGAAGGTAGTTTTTTTTTCTTTTCTTACTAGAGTAAATGCTAATTAAATATCTATTTCTTAGACAACAAGCCGAGAATACTCTGGTCGAGATGGAAGAACGCTGCAAAAACCTCGAAGAGAAAAGTCAGCTGCTCTGCGACCTCGCTAGCGAGAAAAGCAACAATCTAGTTGTCGCAGGTAGGTAAGCTGAGCAATTTCCGCAATATCAAGACGCTTTCGGCGTTTGCATCTTAAATGTCGAGAATATTGATGTCAACGTTGTCACTATCGCGACATGTCTCAATCGTTGAGAATTCGCCCCATATCTCGATCATCGGTGCGTTTGTAGATAACTATCACACGGAGAACGAGGTACATCTGTACAACGATCTAAAGGCGGCCAGGACCGAGCTGGAGAAGCAACAGCGGAGGATCGAACAACTGGAAATAGAGAAACAAGAGATCGTCGCCGTGATGCATCAAGCGGCCGTTAGTTTGCACTACTTTCAGGAACTCTGCTTATATAAGAACTAACAATAAATTCGATTCGCGTTGTAGTCTTCGCTCGTAAAACCGTGACTCTCTTTTTACTTACCGCGTCTCCACTTCATCCACTTCCATCTTGTACCTCCGATTGTCAGGACTGATCTCGATTATTCCTCTTTTTTGTTCACACGTAGAGTCGCGATAGCGAAGACAAGACGAATGATAAGCTGGCTACCGAGCTCGTGGCTAAGACCGAGGAACTCCAGAATCTGATGCTGGAGAACGATTTTCTTCGGAAGGAAGTCGAATTTGCGTGAGCCTCATTCTTTTTCTTCCTGTTTTAGGGGGTGGAAATCAGATGGTTCTTGTACTTGGTGTCACGACATCTCTTCACGTTTCTAGATCAAAGATGCGCTTTATTTGTCGACTTCTATTTGTTTCTTTCTTTTTTTCGTTTCTTATTATTTTTAAAAATTATTCAGATTCTTGATCTCTGTTATGAATATTGCAGAGAAAGGAAGAAAGATGAGTTGGAGAAGCAGTTGTCCGAGATTCAGCATCACCTCCACGCAAAATCAAAGGAAGACGGCAAGACGGGACTCGACGCGATCGACTTACAGCAGCAAGTCAGCGACTTACGAAACAGCCTGGTCCAAGTCATACAGCAGAATCAGGAGCTGGAGACCAGTTTGACCCAGAAGCAGCTGGAGCTGGAGCAACGTGATCGTGTGATGCGGGAACAAAGCAAGTTCCTCAAGGCTAGAAATGAGTTGCTGACTATCCTCAAGGGAAAGCAACAGACAAGCGTGGATAATCTTCCTAATGAGAATTACGAAGATATGGACGAAGTAATGTCGTAGTGTAGATTGCGAAAATTGTGATTGAATTCGTAGTTTGTTTAAAGTTCACTCGTTTTCTATGCGAATATTCTTCCTGTTTCCTTATTCTTTCAATCTCGCTTTTCTTCTTCAAATTTAATTCGCTTTTCTTCTAGCAAATTTAATTTGCTTTATGATTGCTATGCGCATAGGTCAATAAGCAGATCGCGACGAAGACGGAAGCGATCCAGGAGCTATACGCCACGCTGGAGAGCAAGCAGATGCAGGTGATGCGACTGGAGAAGCTGGTGAAGCTGCTGGAGGACCAGCAGGACCGGGCGCAAGCGCAACGCACACGGCTCGAGCATCGCATCGCTCAGCTGGAAGTGAGTCTGCGGGACAAGACGAAGAACAGCAACCGGTATGTCACCAGCGAGTGCAACTTGCGTAAATCCGATCGATCGTACGTCATCGACGATCGAGTGTCGCGCGCTCTTCCTCGCGAGTCGAAGCGAGCGCTGTTAGAAGAACCTACACCGACGTTCCGTCTGATTAATCCGCGCCCGCGGAAAAGATTAGGGTTTCCACGGTATCTCTACCGTCGAGTTTTACCTTCAAAGAGCTTGAATCCTCCGCCGAGCTCGATCGCTGCCTCTTATCGCAGTAAATCCGCGAAATTTCACGTTGATGATTGGTGTCGCGCTTGCTCAGACAACGAAGAAGCTTTTATCTGCGAGCGGTGTCGTCGTGAAACTGGCGAGAAATTCAAGGATGACACGGTCCGCCAAGTCGAGCGAGACCGTCATGATCCCATGCGAAAGTCTCTTTACGAGTGGCTCATGAGGTCCTCGACTTTGGAATCCGGCACGACCGACGACAACGCAGATTGTTTCTTCAGGATTGTTAATCCTGATGTGGTTCGCGGTAACGAGTGGGATCGTAGCAGGGAGTCGCGTGATCGCAGACGACACTATCGTAGTCGTTCTTCGAGGCGATTTCTTTACGGCACGTTCCCTCGACGACGTGGTCCGATCACTCGCACATAGTATTATGATTTTGAACATAAACCGTTTATCTTGCGCTTTGAATTAAACAGCTTCTTTCTAGACAATCTCATTATTATTTATATTTTTTTAGAAAAATTGGGAACATATTATAAAAGAAACGGTAGTAAGTAATACATAAAAAAGAAATTTGAAATATTGCTTTAAGATGGCTCGAAAAGAAGCTTTTCAAACCAAAGCGATTCTCTATTTTTTTTTATACATGTTGGGACTATTGTTTAGAAAGAAATAGCCAATCGCTGATCTGACATTAATCAATGCTCTATTTATTAATTCAATAAGTTATAGTGTAAATATGCATTATATTTAACAAATTATTCGTTGCTACTTATAGATGTAAAATAAGTAGATGTCATTAACACATTCGAGATAATCTTCTCTGTAAATTCAATTATAATTTTTATGATAACGCTTATATTTTTGTTATTTTTATAATTCTTATATAACGCTTATATTTTTGTTATTTTTATAATTCTGTAATATTTAATTTTTATATTTTCTTTATTTTTTATAATAAATATACAATTTTTCCATCAAAACAGGATTCAGTAAATTCGATTTCTCTTTCATCTCGAACATGTTAAATGGTCTGTTTCGATAGGCTAGGTGCTCCCTGCTACATTGCACTAATGTTCATGTAATTCGACAACAGAGCTTCTTACAGAGTGCCTAGCCTTTCAGTCGAACAGACCAAGTTTCGATCTCTTTACGTCTCTGACGATTTATCTCTTTATGTTTTAGGAATAGAGCCTTCGGCATCCTGTAAGAAATCTCTGTACTCGTCGGCACACTCCACTTAATAACGTATCAATCCACAGATATAAACCACAGATTGGATCTACCAACAAATCATTAATGTGTATACGTCGTGTGGTTTGCATAAAGCACTACGCTCACACAAAAATTGCGTGTACAGTTTAAAACCTAGTACGATTGCAATTTTTATATTTTGAGATGCGTTTAACAAAACATATTTATTAATAAGTATATCATTTGTAGATCCCGTTTATTTTGTATCACAATGTTTATCTCGTCACATAAAAATATGTACATCTTGGAAATATATTAGTTTATATCTCTATTGATCGCTATCATTGTCACTACTGCCTGAATATGCACCTAACAGCGAGAGGCCGTTGCTTGCGTTATTCGATTTAGTACCTGTATTTGTTATATTCGATATACTTGTCGGAGTGTCTTGAGTCTCGTCCAACCGCGAGACGGTTTCGTTATCGGTAGAAAGCACGATTTCGGACGTGACTTTATTTTGCGGCGGCTTTGCGTTTATCTTTATGCCGATATTGCCTTTCTTCATCAAAGCAGACGAATTCTTCTTGCCAAATGATAATCCCATATTCTCCGACCACAATGATATCTTGGAAGGTCTTGTGGACTGTCCAGTATTGTCCTGTGCAACAATCGATAATTTATTTAGTACATACAAACTAAAAAGATCAAAATCTATCTAATGAGAATAAATAGAATTTGACAAAAGCAAGATCAACTTACTGCTTCTCTGCTATTTACTTTGTTCATTTTAGGCACTTTTGGAAGGGGTTCCATAATTTCTTCTTCTTCTACTTCTCCTTTGTTTTCTACCTCTTCAATTTCCTCTTCTACAACAGTCCCTGTTAACTGTCTTTTACCAAATACAGATTTAATGTACTGCTCATCCAATTCCTCTTGTTCTTTTTCTGTACGCTGTCTGCTAGTCTCTGTGTCGAATTGCTGCAACATCTGATCGTAATCTATGGTCTGTTGTCTGCGATTTAAATCCTTCAATTCCTCTAGGGACTCCAGAAGTTCCAGTTCCTGTTTTGACTGCAGCGTTCTCTTTTCCAGGAGTTTCATTGGATTAGTGGCCTCCTCTTCCTTTTCCTCATCTTCTTCTCTCTGCGCTTGCTCCTCTGCCAGCTTCAACGCCATGAAGTTTCTCGTAGCACCTGCCTCAATTTCATAATCTGTGTTCTTGGGGTCGGTCTTGAAGGATATCTCTTGCAGGCAGCGTGTGCACTTGATGTAAAACCTGTAAATGCGTATGCCCAGGTAATCGTCGCCCTCGACGTCCTCCTTACGCGCATTAAATTTCTTGCCCTTGTAGATATATTCACCGCATGTTTTACATCTCATGTTGAACGGCGCCATCAATCGTACGGTGTATTGGCGATTTCTCGCCAATTTCATGCGCGGGATCTTCGACGGATCGAAATCCGGCGGGTAGTATTTCTAAAGCAAGAAACAAGCAGAAGGTCAGAGAAGAAGTGCATATATGTCGTGTGAAAAATAATTGTTCGCCTCAAATTCTCATACTTACGTTCAATACTTTGCGCTCCGACATTTCGCAGCTTCAACACCGTGCGATTGATATTCACTAAAATATATCTTTTCTCCAAATATTCCAAGCAACGCAAAGTACACCGTTGATTTTAGGTTATGTCGCTGTACTCAACTGACACGAAGTAGATCGAAAGTCTGTTCTTTGTAGCTGCACTGCTGAACTAGTGCAATAAGTTAGAGTAAGAAAACGTATATTTGTCTTACTTCAATATATTACACCAGTTCAGCAGTGCAGCTATAAAGAACAGGCCTCGAAGCAGGGATCGAGCAGCGTTCGAGATGGCCACCGTGTTCACCAATCATAAAGCTGCGCAGCAATCGATACTCGCAATTCGCGAAAATTGCGATTCTCGAACAGTTAATGGCGCCTGGTATTATCTTTGCGTAATTTGTTAAACGCTCCACGTATAAACAAAGTGAGTACGTATTTAGAGCGTGTATCGGGCCTCAGGTGGGATGGAAATCCGCGGAAAGACGAGAGGAAGCAGTGGAAATGAAGGCAGACGAGTATCTGTATGGAGAAACGGGAAAAACGATCGAGTAACGGTGAGTGTATTTGGACGACTGTAATTTCACTTGTGGTGATTGTCTCTGAGTTTTTTGTAACGTTGAAAAATGCCGTGACATCACATCTCGATGCCTCAGACTCGCGATTTATATGATATTTTCACCTTCTTCTCCGCGAGAAAAGATACATAAGCCGACAGGGAAATTTTTCGGAATTTCGATTTTAAATCATGTGATAAGAACGTAAATAACTATCTCTCTCTCTTTCTCTCACGCCGACAGTCGAATGGTCGGAAGTTGAATATAACTTCTCTCTACGATGCCATATCACTGCAAACGGCAACTAGATAATCTCTAATTGCTCATTAACAATCATATCTCTGTGCGATTAATACATAGCTCTCGAGACATTCGCCGTCTTACGCAAGACCTTTCCCAAGATCTTCGCTCTCCTTCCCACGACCCTTTCACCCCCGCCAGCTAGCGTCATCTTTCGGTTCGCCGTTGATGTATAAGGTTAATCCCGCGAGTTCTTGTATAAATGCGAGCGTTTGAAACTGAACGCGGTGAAAACATCGTATGCATATGAAGGTACTTCGCGGAAAATATTTCAATCAGGCGGCACGTATACACGTGTATTTATACGAGCGTTCCATACTTCGTGTACACGTAAATTAGATCAAATTGAACACAAAATTTCTCTACCATTTTGCAAATAGTCATATAAAATTTTGAGTCATTAATTTAAAGAAGATTGATGAATGGCATAACAAATGAGTTGTATTTAACGACACTTGTCGCTATTTACTTGTGGACTAGGTCAGACTGAACAAAAAAGTCCTCTACCATCTTGCAAACAATCACGTAGATTTTTTAGTTATTAATTGAAGAACATTGGCAAGTGTTATACAGGGTGAGCCATTTTAATCGACGGATTCAAATTGCTCCTAAAATACGCCAGCTACAAAAAAATGGTTAAGACAAGAATTGTAGAGCACAACGGGGGTCATTTTACCGTGCTAATAATTTTGACCTTCAGATCGATTTTCAAGGTCATTCGAAGGTCAAAGTCATTTTTTTAAATTAGAACCCCTATTTTTGACACCGGATTCGAAAAGAGCAGAAAATTTTACGTTAAAAATGATATTTAGATTTTTTTTCTGAGTCCAAGAAGGTCAAATAAAAAATGATTAAAAACAACTTAGAAACTGTTAATGTTAATTTTAAAGATTTTTATGCATGATAAGTGTTTCGTGGTACTAACAAATACTAATAGAAAAAAAGTTGCGAAATGTTGTTATTCCATTTCCGAAATTGATGCGCAATAATCTCACTTTAATATGATTATTAATAAGGCGTAATAAATAAAATTTTAAAAGTAAAAACAAATGCTTTTAAAGTATTACCTTTAACAATTTTTCTTTTTTGAGTGCAGGGTAACTTGAAAAATTTTTTTTAAATATGGCTGACTATCCTCCACGTCCACGTCGTTGTTTTGGTACTAAAAGTATTGAATTAACATCTTCCAAGTTCTTGATTTGACCTTCTTGGACTCAGAAAAAAATCTAAATATCATTTTTAACGTAAAATTTTCTGCTCTTTTCGAATCCGGTGTCAAAAATAGGGGTTCTAATTTAAAAAAATGACTTTGACCTTCGAATGA